AAATGTCCTCAGGTGAGGATAAAAATTAAAAAATCAACGCTGATTAAGCTGCTATTACTTGGGGCGGTTGTTTTGGCCCCTGAACCCAACCCTAATGGATTAGTGTAGGACCAGTTACCGTCCTAAGTGTTACATAATCACACTCTACTCCAGGTCTGCACAGATCCGTACCAGCATCCTTTATGGATTTGTGTCCAAGTTGCACAGAATTGGGGGAAAGGTCATTTTATTTATCTGATTTTTCAATTTACTAAATGAAAAATTATAAAAATAACTTGGTGCTGGGCTGGAATGCCATGGGAAACTCACCCACTGGGTGTAGAAGACCTAACTCTGTCCCGTACCAGCTGTACGTGCTTAGAGGATCATCTGTCTGAGCCTCAATTTCCTATGAAATAGAGATACCAACACCTACTTCATCAAGTTGTTGGAATAAATAAATAAAATACATGTGACAGAGCTTGGTAAGTACTGAGCACTGTGTAAATACCTGGGGTTATGATCATAAAATTGGAAGACAAATGATAGTGTAACCCAAAAGGCAAATCATCTCACAAAACACATACAGTGGTGTCTGTTGTCTGTGTGGGTTGCTAGTTATAAATGAGAATAACTTGAAAAATTCATTGTAGTTAGTAACTTAAAAACAATAAGAAACAAGTTGTGGTGTATTGCTACAAATGTAGGTTCCTATCATACCTTCATTTCAAACTGTTAGAATTCTTTAATATATATATATTTTTGGCTTTGTTTCAATAGGGTGACTTTAATCAAAATGTGAATTTAACCATTTATCTTTCTGTATAATACCTGAGAAACTCTGCCAGAATGATTGCTTTGTTCAAAACGACTTTCTGTTTTAAAAACTATTCATGCTAAATGTTTTTAAAGTGTTCAGTACAGATATAAAAGAAAAGTCCCTCTCGAGCCTGAAGCTGGCAGAAAGATGAAACCCAAAGGACCTGGTGGTAACAGGTTGTAACAGTTCAGAGAGGAAGGAGGCTAAGAGAGGGGGGGCGGAAGGCACATCTGGACGCAGAGGACAGCCTGTCCGTCAGCGCGGGGACTGGGGGTGGTGGCGGGTAGATACGATCAGAAGGAGGACAGGTGGGGTGACTGAGAACTTCGAAGACGAGAGGCAAGTTCACACGCCATGCAGGCGGTCACAGCAGTGAGCAGCTGGGAGGAGGACCCCGGCAGGAGGCGAGGCGTGAGCGAGGACCCCGGCCCAGCTCCACCGCACGGACCTCCCCACAGGACTGTCCGGCTGGGCGGCCGTCAGGGCTGACCAGGAGTGAAACCAGAGGCCCCGTCTGGACCTAGCTCTGCATGCACATGTTCTTCTATCGGGCGGAATTCATCTAACTCATACTTTTTAAGGCTCAGGTTTTCTACTAAGGCAGATTTGCTGGAGAGAGGATCACAGACATCCCCCGGTGGCAGTGAACAACCCGAAGCCTACGGTCTCGAAAGGAAAGCCGCTTCTGGGAAGAGCATCTTACAAATCTACTTCAGCATTTACCCTGGAAGAGTGACCCTTCCCTTATTCAATACTGACTTCCAACTTTGGAGAATGACACTCCATCCAAAAATCAAGGCTCACAATTTAAGAATTACATTTTTCTGGGAAATGCTAAAATGTGATTAAAAAAAAAAAAGTTAAATATTAAACCTGTTACTAGCTTTATGGGTCCTCTTCCCCTGGGCGTGGTGCTGGGTTCTGGTTTCCTGGAGACCCACCGTGCCTGCCGTCCCCCCCCCCCACTGCAGCTCGGGGGAGGCCTCTCCAAGGACAAACCCGCGAAGGCCGACTCCAGAGACAAGGCCAGAGCGATGAGAAGCTTTCAAGAGGATGACCAGAGATCCCTGTCTCCAAAGGGGATACAACGTAACACCGCTCTCAATGATTTTCAGCCTCTCCACAGGACTCTACTCTGGGACCACAAAAAGCTCCATCTCAAACTATACCCTGGTACATACTTGGATATTATCTGTTTCTTCTCAGGTGTGTGTGTGTGTGTGTGTGTGTGTGTGTGTGTGTGTGTGTGTGTGAGAGAGAGAGAGAGAGAGAGAGAGAGATTTCCTCTTTATATGGCAGCCCTAGATACAATGAGATTAAATCTACCATAATCTTTTACCTTGATCTATAGAATAAATATCAAGGACATTTCACATACAGATGATTTTAGGACAAATGTCAAATCCTATTAAAACTATTAGTCCACACTTTTTTTGGTGTGTTAATCTTCATCCAAGGATATTTTTTCCATCGAGAGAGTGGAAAGGAGGGATGGAGGGCAGGCGGGGGGAGGGGGAGAGAAGAACATTGATAAGAGAGAGGAGACACTTCAATTGGTTGCCTCCCAAAGGGACCCCGACTGGGGCTGGGGAGCACAACCCGGGTAGGTGCCCTTGACTGGGAATCCAACCTGTGACCCTTCAGTGCTCAGGCCGACACTGTAACCACTGAGCACACTGGCCAGGACTGGTCCACACTTCTGAGACTATATTCCAGGAAGTACTTTGCAAACAGTACATCTGTTGTTGTATTATAGCAAATGTGGTAAGAAGCCAGGTACTCAAAGGGGAAGAGTAGCTTATTCTAGTTTATCAGTATGATAGCTTATTCTAGTTTATCAGTATGATAGCTTATTCTAGTTTATCAGTATGATAGCTTATTCTAGTTATCAGTATGATAGCTTATTCTAGTTTATCAGTATGGCACTGTACATGCAAGCACGAAGAGCTTTTTAATGCACGAAAAGAGGAAGGGGAAACAAACGGTTTTCTTCCTGTAGGTGCGCAGCGTGAGTCATGCCTGAAAAACAACCAGGACGCCCCTGGTCCAGGACACATTCCCTGGGGCAGCAGGCAGCAGGCTTCAATCCGAGCTCAGTAATCAGGTCCTCCCCTCCTACCTGCAGGCCCATGTCAGACAACAGCTCCTCCGCGGAGCCCCTGACCGTCAGCCTGAGGACACGAGCTGTCAGTCAACACTGCTGCTCCACAGCACCGGTCACAGCCGGCCCACGTGGTGCCCTCGTGCACAGAGGAAAAAGCACTCCTGCGTCTGGGCGGCAGCGGCCCCATGCCAGCTGGGGCACAATGGAAACCCCTTTCAGAGGGGTGTCCGATCGCAGGTACAACCTACCTTTTGTGGCTTCTTCCCCTCCTCCATGTCTGAACTCACAACCTTTAGAAATCCCTGATTTCCATTTAGAGATAGGCTTGACCATCGATCTCTGTCTGTGATCATCTGTAAATCAGGTTTGTAAGCTTAATTCTGTCAGCCTCTCAAGGGAATACCTCGCAGGTCAAGACGGGAATTTATGGACTTCACTTGACGTTGAGCCCTGCCCCTGGCTTTCGTCCCTCACACAGGCGGTCTGTACGGAGGCTCTGGCGCCCACGGGCGCTGGGTGCGGGGCTGAGTGGCCAGGCTGTGGGGCTGCCCAGGCCATCCGCTGCCCCCACAATGGCTTTTTCCTTTGCCAGGTGATTTCTGCTTCTATTTTTAGCACCACTGCAGAAACGAAATAAAACCTAAATACAAAAAGCACAATGCAATCTTTGTGTGGTTCTTGCCTCATCCAGAAGCTTCTTCTGGAAAGGACAGAGGGGAGCAGCACTAGATGTGGCCCACACCCAGCTGGGTCCAGGTGCACACCCCCAGATCCAAAGCTTGGCCACAGGGGTGCAGACGTCTCTCTGGGGAGAGATCTCCCCTCTGTTTGTGGATGGACGGTGCTACAAACCTACGAGTTATGAGAGTCACCCTCACAGCCTGCTTCATCACCAGCATCTTCTTTAACCAACTTCCTTCCTGATGCAGGGGAACGAGGGACAGAGAGGGGAGGCAACTCGCCCGGCTTCACCGGCTGGGTCATTGCCTCCAGAGCCCACGCTCAGAACCACCGAGAGCTCACCCGCGTCGCGGAGAAACGCATGCCCTACGGACCGTGGCTTCGTAGGAGCTTCCCCCCCAGCTCTGCGGCCGCGGCTCCTGGCAACCTCGCTCAGAAAACCTGTGTGGGGCTCATCCCCGGGCTGGTGGCCCAGTGGGGCGCCCTGCAGCGCAGGCTGGGAAGGAGAACTCTTATTCCCTGCTTTGCCATCGGGACCTGCTCTCCTTACAGGGGAGAAGAGGCCACTGCTGATCCCTCTTGATGAAAAGAAGTCACAAGATTCACAGCAATGAAAAAAAAACTTTGAAGGTTAAAAAAAGGGGTGGGTGTTTGGACATCACTATCCTGTCCACCGCACATCCTTGGGGCATGCCTGCACCCAGCCGGCCGCCGGGGCCACTGTGGCTAGGGGATGGTGCTCCCCGGAAAGAGAAGAGAGCCAGCCAAGGGGAGTAGGCGATGCTGACTGCTTCGTGGGGAAAGAGAGTAACAGGAAAAGGAAGAGAGAAATGGGATGCAGAGAGGGAAGATGGAAAATGCTTGGTCTGATCTTTGGCTTCAAGTGGGAGCCAGGGTCTGGAATCAGCCTGTCATGCGTGAGGGCTTACGGTTCAGACTGAATGACACCATGCAATCCACAGACCAGGAGTTTCAACACGAACCTCAGCCTTTTAATGCACCCACATGCGTGTTGCTGACCTCGTGCCACGTCGGAGCGCATTCCGTGGCAGGCAGCCACGGGGCACTTGATGTTTCCGAGAGTGCCTCGTGTAGCCCGCAGTGGGGGACGTAAACGGAGGGCTGCTCGTCACAGCACAACACAGATGGACGGGGGCTGCCATCTGCGAAGAGCCGAGTCAAGGTCTGATTAGCTCCTCTGTGAACCGTTACGAAGCTGTCTTTATAAACACAGAGACGTACAAATTTTGGCTCCCTGCAAGGCTGCGAGAACCCACCGCTGTGCTGGGCAAGACACTTCATCTGCCTGGGCAGCTCTGCTCCGGCTGATCACACGAGACAGAACTGCTTTTGGTACACGTTCCCCGGTAGCAGGAAGGACGTTCTGCGCGCCCCTCGCTTCCACGCCCGACTTACCTACTTCATCCCTGACGTTCGCGAGCTCGATCGACAGCGCCTTTTCTTTCACGAGGGCACTTTCATTCTGAAAGAACAAAATGGACACCGAGAGTCCCCTAGTTTCATGCTAGATGAGCACGTTCACATGTTTAATTAATGCATCATATTAAGCAAATATTTATAAGCCTAACCCTTAAGGAGAAAACTTCCTCATTACAGAAGCACATAAAACTGACACAGCCAAGTCCTACTCACTCCTTCGGATCAAGTTCAAAGTGCAAAGCTGGCAACATCGTATCAGCAGCATCCGCATCCGTGCTTTGCTCTCGCTGGCTCTCTTCCCGGTCACCCTCCAACCTTCTCCGCAGAGCTATGCCCTTCACATCTATGCTCTATATTATTAGACATTGTTTTCTTTTTGTATTTATTTATTTATTATATATTTTTTTTATCCTCACTGAGGACATTTTTCCATATTTTATTCAGGTAGAGTGGGAGGAAGAGAGGGAGAGAGAGAGACATCGACGTGAAAGGGACACATCGAGTGGCTGCCACCCGCACGACCCACTGGGGCTGTGGACAAACTGCAACCGAGGTACATGCCCTTAGCGGGAACCAAACCCGGGTCTCTCTGGACCTCAGGCCGATGCTCTTACCACTGAGCCAAACCGGCCAGGGCACCAACAGTCTTCTTAAACGTACCCCTTTGTCCAGACATATACAGTCAGCTCCCTAATGAATAATGAGTACAAAATGTAACATAAAGCATTTTTCTTTGTAATAAGGCCAACAACAAAACATAAGGCTTCAGAGTTATTTTTTGTACTGAATTCCATATCAATAGAAGGAATGAGAGGAAATCTCGTACTGGAAGTATTTAGTGCAAAGAATGTCATCTGTAACTAACCACTAAGCTGGTTCAAATCACCACATTCTATGACATAAAAGAGGTGCAGTTGAAGTGATGCTGAACAGATCATCTTCATTGTTGAGTCACCACACACATTTACTTTTCTTATGATTTTATTAGTTTTAATAACTAAGAAAGATGTGCCATATAAATTCTCTTCAAGTGAGAGATCCCAAGAATATAAAGTCTCTGTCATTCTGTAGCATGCACTCCCAAAGCAAACGTTTCTAAAGAGGGGATGTGACTAAAATGTGTAGCAAATATCCAGCATGAATATCATCAGGGCCTTGTGAATGTTCTTTCTTTATTAACTCCTTTGACTTTGATTTTAACCCTTCTGGAGAAACTGCCGAATTTGAACAGATAGTGTTCACAAGCTCATATCTGTGTCTGCTGCAGTTTGACCTGGGTAACACGTGTAACACTTTGGGTTAAGGGGAGGGTCTCAGGTCATCCCTAAGGCATTTGCTAGGCAAAGTAATCATACATAACACCAAAATAAAACTCTATTTGCAGAGTAAACCGAGAGCTATTTTAGTCTCAGGCATCAACAGTTATTAGCTCATGGTTCTCTTAGGAAAACTATCGATGATACATCCTTTGAGGGACAATAGACCCATCTCACTGGTGAAGCTCTCTCCTTCCATCCCAGCCCAGAGCATCCTTGCCTCCCCTGAATTTAAAGATTAGAGGTCCCTGGTCAGTGTGGCTCAGTGGACTGAGCGTCATCCCAAGGACTGAGAGGTCCCAGTTTGATTCCCAGTCAGGGCACATATTCAGGTTATGGGCTCAATCCCCAGCAGGGGGTGGGGTGCAGGAGGAAGTTGATCAGTGTTTATCACATCGATGTTTCTATCTGTCTCTCCCTTCCTCTCCCTCTAAAAATTCAATAAAAACATATTTAAAAATAAATAAATGAAGGCCAGAGGTTCCACCTGGGAGTGCGTATGTTGCTAACCCTAAGTGTTGCGGCCTCTCTGCCATGCCCACTGCACAGGACTGTCATGAGGGTTAAATGAGTCAAAATATGTGAAGTAGCCAGAGCAGTGCTGGCACTTAGCAAGCTCTCTAGAAATGTTAGTTGTTATCATAACTCCATTGTTTCCTTTGATTTGATTTGTAACTGGATAACAGCCTATCAAAGACAGGTGCTTTTCATATTAGCTACCAAAACGTGTTTAACATTGTTATGCCAATCTTACACTCTGCTTTTTAAATTTTTTTAAAGCACCTTCCTGCCTCTGTCCTGATTCTACTCTACGTTCAAAGACAGAACAGAACAGGGAGTGAATTCTAACCAGACTGATCACCGGGACCGTGTGCCCGTTCTATACGATACGGCAGCTGACATGCACCTTGTCGCTCCTACTGCAAAAACGTGGTGTTCTGGAAAGGGTACGTTTCCGTATTTACCCTACCATAATCTTTATCTTGTTTGTACTCTCAAGAATACCTTTGAACACGAGTATTCTCAGTTCCTAAGCAGAGCTGAGGGTCAAAATACCGTCCTTATCAGACCAGAAACAGCATCACGCAGGTCCTCGCTCTGGGAGTGTGGAGACCTGCGGGGACCCGGAGGTCAGCAGTGGACAACCAGAACTTAACAAAAACAACAAACGAACTCGGGTTTCTCACCCAACGCCAGGAAGCAGCCCCGAGGGGAACGCTGACACGCCTGGGGGATCCTGTCCTGACAAACTCCTGACCTTCCAGCCACGGGGGAACAGACGTTTAGGGAAGGACAGGCCCGAGGTCCCGAGCAGGGAGGAAGAGGGGACCCAGCTGCAGACAGTGTTTTGGGACCTGACTGCTTTGGTGAAAAGGATTAGCCCGCTTTCCGGGAAGCAGAGGCCGTGCAGACAGACGGAGAAGACTGATGAGGATGAGCCCGTCCACCCTCATCCCCACCCGTTCAGCGCAGGCTGTAAAACCAACCAGTTTCAGACAACAGTCCTCACATGACTTCCTCCCTCTCTCCCTCCCGCTCCATCTGATGAGAAATGCAAAAAAGTGTCCTCAGCTGAGGATAAAAAGAAAAGAAATTGTATTGCTCCTCAGATCGGATTGAACACGTCCTACCACGAAGATTTTCACGTCTGATGGGAGAGGTCGGCTTCTGACCATCGTTTCAATGAAAAAATTCCCTGGCTGTGTTCACCCCCCACCCACCACCTGCACAGATCATGCTTGTCCTGGGCGTTGATTCGTCTGCTGCACGTCAGAATATCCCCAGTGTGGCCCGCACGGGGCTGTCGCTCCTGATAGGGTCACTGCTCAGCTTCCCTAACCCTCCCGTGGCCTCTGGATGAACATCGCCGTCTGGGGCCGGCACGCCGAGCCCTGCTGGCGAAGGCCAGCCTGTGCAGTTGGCAGCAGACCTTCCCTAAGTGCTTGTACTTGAAGTATCAACTTTTCAAATTTATGAATTCTCGGCATCGATGATGGTATCTTCTGCTTTATGCTAGCAGATGGAATGAGTCAGCTGCTGTGGCCGTAGGGACACTGGGCCTCAGGAGGAGGTGACAGGGACCTTCAGCTCCACTCCTCGCCTCAAAGGGTCGTCCTCCACCACCGTGTCAGCAGAGCCCCGGCTGCCCTGCTCGGCCCCTAGGTGCTGCACACGCAGGAGCGAGGCTGTCCCAGAGCCTCCCGGGAAAGGAGCTCGTGCCCCGACCCCTCACCCCTCCACCCGAACCAGGTCCAGCGTGAGGACAGGGAGGACGACTGGAGCATGGGACAGGCCTCCGCTGTGGCCCGGTGTTAGGTCAGTGCTTCCCGACCCGGGGGGTGAGCGGGAAATTCCTAACTGGTGCCAAGCACACGAGCTCCTGCTTGCATGCCAAAGGGTTAAAAATAGAACTAGAAGTAGCCATCCAAACCACCCTGGTGATACAGTCCAGAAATCGCCACGTCTAAGAAGGCCACCCCTCTAACGCTCCTCTTTATCTTTGCTGTGTGTCAGGCTTCACTGCAAACGGACCCTTGGAGGACACTCAGCAAGCCCATACCAGCAGCTGCGTCTCCCCAGCTACCTCTTTAACTTGGCCACGCTCCCCTGCTGTCCGTTCCTCTCTCCGTGGCACCTTGCGGTCGCAGAGGAGTCCAGAACCACTGTCCCCTCCACGAGCCCTCCAAAGACCCCTGCAAGTCTGCCAGAGTGGAGCCCACAGCTCCACCACGGCCCCAGGCCGGGCTGCTCTCGCCCTGGGAACGCCGCCTTGACCCTCCCCAGCCGCGGAAGCGGGCGAAGCGGAGGCCCTGCTCAGCTCTGCGCTGACGCCAAGCAGCCGGATGTGTGGCCACCCGGGCAAACCTGCCGCACTCTGTTATTTTAAACACCTGGTCGTGGGAGTTATCTATGCAAGTGGCTGACGCCACCCATGTGAACTTGGTGGTAACAGGATGTAAAAACAACTCTCCTCATTAGCATCATCCGTGTGATTTTTCCTGGACATCTCCTCCCCCACCCCCGAATTAGAAACCAACAGAACAGCCTGTTTATTATTAACACTGAATGTTGGGTGACTCTGAGGTGTTTTCACCCCAACTAATCCACAAATAGGAAATTTATACAAAACAACACATTTTGCTGAGTGCCCACTGAGTGCCAGGCAGACGTGCCAGGCAGGGTATTTCCGGACATTCAAGGAGCCTCTGAGTCTCCCAGAGTCAGCGAACGAGTGAGCGATTACAAAACGACATGAGGTAACTCGACGCAGCAGGGGTGGCGTGAAGATGTCCTGAGCCCGGAGGATGAACAAGCGAGAGGCCATGACGGGAGCACCCAGGCAAAGGCCAGGGGAGCTGATGACCAAAGCAGCACCAGGAGCTATTTCTGGGGACCTGTCACCCCCATCAGATGGGCCCTTTTCCTCACTGAGTTTCTGCCTCTGGTCTGATCCCTCCTGTAAGAATTCTTGATTAGCTACAAGGGGTGCTGATGACAATGTCACAAAATTCACTGTTGTTGTGATTTTATCAGCAACCTTTTCCCACCTGCTATTTTTTAAAGGTGGGCATATATATGTACATTTAAATAAATATATGTCGTAAGCCCAAAGACTCCCAACTAATTTCTCCTATCATTTCCCTGCCCTAAAATCAGTGCAGATCAGGAAAATGCAGCCACATAAACAAGCGGGGTCGCTTTTTCCAGGCTAAACAAAAGCCCCATG